CCTGAAGTGCTGCTGCCGGTGCGCAGCGTGAAGTGCTGGGGCTGAGTGGCGTCGTTCATGTTGTTGGCGGACCGGACGTCCTGCACTGCCGCGTCCTCGCTGCCCTGCTGCGGCCGGAAGAGCGTGTTCTCGAGGACCCAGCCCGTGCCGCGCGCGAGGCCGTAGGCTGCGCCGCCCGCAATGCCAACGGCCAGCCCCGCCGTTGCCGCCGCGCCAACTCCCGCCACGCCAGCCAACGTTCCAGCAACCTCGCCCGCCGTGGGTGCGAGGGCTGCCGCTCCTTCCGCCAGGCCCCCCAGGTAACCAAAGGCTCCGCCCACGCCCGCGGCGGCAACGGCAACCTCACCCTCCTCCGCAGCCACGGCCGCCGTCTCCTCAACGGCCTGCGCCGCGCCGCGCTCCACCTCCTGCGCGCGCTGCCCCGCCTCGTCCAGGAGGCGCTCCACGTCACTGGGCCGGCCTATGATCTGCGGAGGCGGCTGCGCCGGGCCCGGACGGGGCAACACATTTAGGCGGACGTACTCAGCGGCGTCCGGGGGCAGCTGAGAGCGGAAAGCCTGCGCGGCTGCGAGCCCCGCCGCCCCTGCGCCTATGAGGTCCGCTGCCGCCTGCGCGCCGTCTGCAGTGCTGCGCAGACGGTCCGTGATGGAGGGCGGCCCTGCCCGTTGCTGGCCAGCGCGCCGGCCTCGGGGTCTCCCGCCAGGTCATCCTCAACACAGCGGGTTCCGCCGCACCCTTGGTACCTCCGCGCAAGGCGCACATCCTCGTCCGTGGCCTCTGCGGGACTGCGGAAGCCGTCCTCGGGAATTGCCTGCAGAGGCGTGTGCTGCAGGGGCCGGGGGTTGGGGTCCTCGCTGGACTGTACAAAATCGACCAGGTAGAAGTGGCTTGTGATGAATGAGGTGGCTTTGCGGTCCGGCTGATCCAGGGGCAGCGGCTCATTCCGCTCAAGGTAGCCCACCACCTGCTCAAAGCGCGGGCGCTGGATGAAGCCGTGCGCCCGAAGCGTCTTCATTTACTGTTGCGCAACTTCGCCCGCCGCCCGTTCCACGCCCCGGCGCTCGGCCCGCGCGTAGCGCAGCTGGGGTACCTGGCGGTGCACGGCCTCCGTCAGCCGGCTCACGTCGTCCAGGTGCCGCTGCCCCTCCTGCGCCTGCCTGCGCTCGCCCAGCCAGTTGTTGAAGGCCCGCGCCTCCTCCAGTTCTCGGTAGCGCTTCAGCAGCAGCGGCTGCAAGTTGTAACTGGGGTACGTCTTGCGGAACCACCGGAGCATCCGCGGCTCGTTGCGGGGTTCAATGGACATCATGCTTTTATACCAGTACGCTTGCGCCTGTGGTCAGCCGGTCATAAGCGGACTGCCTCTCCAGCATGCGCAGGGCGCGCTGCTGCTCTCTCGTGAGCTGAGGCGCCTCAACCGGTGCCTCTGGTGGTGCCTCAGCCGGTGCCTCAGCCGGCGCCTCCGCGTGTGCCTCTGCCGGTGCCGTCTCAACCGGAGGCTTTGGCTTGCGCTTTGGAGCAGCCGGCTCAGTAGGCACGTCCTGCTTCGGTTTGTTCTTGCTCCCAGGGGGCCTGCCCCGCCGTTTCGGTTCCGGTGCCGGCGCAGCGGGTGGTGTAGTGTGCGGCGCAGCGTGCGGTGCCTCCGGCGCAGCGTGCACCTCCGCCTCTTGCGCCTCTTGTTCGGTTGGTTCCATTTAATTATATGTGGTCAAGATACAACACGAAGGACAAAGACGACCCGCGAAGCCGGACGACGTTGCCGTCCAGGTCGGTCAGGCGGAAGCGCATGTGACTCAGGGTAACCGGGCCCCTGAGTGCCATGAAGTGCCCGTCGTCTGAGCCCGTCTCCACAATGGTGCCCACTCCGCTCTTCAGCGTGATCTTGGAGAGGATGTCGTCGCCCAGGTTGCCCAGCACTCTGCTGGCGTTGGCCAGCTGGGCGCAGCGCAGGTAGACCTCGTTGTGCGCCATCATTTTGAGAAATTCGAAGATCTGCTGCCCGCCTGAGTCGAAGCTCGGGCCGAGCATGTGGTCGATGCTGAAGGGCTTGGTCGGAGAGGCGGCCGGCGCGGAGGGGTAGTCCGCGGCATCTGGGAATTGCTGGCGCAGCTCCAGGTCGTTCAGGATCAGCCGGTTGCCGTCGTAGGCAACGCTCAGGCTGTTTGTGGTCTCGCCGTAGGTGGCGGTGGCAAAGTTGGAGCTGATCCAGGCGGCCAGCCGTGCGCCAGTGTACGCGCCCTCGGGCAACAACGCCCAGTTCAGCGTGCCCAGCGCGGCGTCAACCCAGTAGAGGTAGCGGCCCCGGTCCGTCGAGAGGAAACTGTCGGCCAGGCGGATCTTGTAGACGGCGAGCCGGGCGTCGCTCTGCAAGCGCAGGGACTCTCCCAGGTCTACCTCAAAGTCGCTGTCCGAGCCGGCCACCCTCTTGCGGCTGTCCACGTAGATCGTCGTCATCCTTTTCTTTAGGAACCCGCCCGTCCGACGGATGATGGGCGGGTTGACGGCTGCGACGGAGGTGCAGCAGGAGATATTCTCGCACCGTGCGCTGATCAGTGTGGAGCTAGCGAACAGCTTCTGGCCCAGGAAGCTGAGCGCCGCTCCCATCGGATTCTCTTTCCAATGCGAAACGCTCTTCAAAGCGCTTGAAGAACATTTCATTCCTCGGCTTCAGGTAGTAGACGAAAAGGAAGCTGTAAGGTTCCCGCGTCGCCTGCTCGTACAACTGGTAGAGCTGCTCCATTGGCAGCAGGGCGCTGAGCTCCTCCACCACGGCGTCCAGCTCGTGCTGGTTGCGCAGCCTCCAGCAGCAGAGGAACTGCATGTTCACCCGCACGGCTGCGCTGATTAGTCTCAGCTTCTGCGAGCTCACCCAGGTGCTGATCTGCATATGACGGCCCCGGATGAAGAGAGTGTCCAGGGCGCCGTGAGGCTTGTGCAGCTGCGGCGTGTCAGCAAAGTCGTCGATGACTACAAGCGCCTGGTACAGTTTCTTCATTTCCAACTTCTTGGACGCCTCCGTGATCTTGCGCTGCTGCTGGATGATGCGCCGCTGCCTCGTCCCACTCGTCCCAACACGTCTGCTCCCGCTCTGTGTTCACCCCCAGGTCCCCCTCAATGTACTTCTTGACGGGGGTCCAGCCGTCGTCTATGTTGACACTTGGGCTGAAGACGTAAATTCTCTCAAAGACGCCGCGATACTGCTCCAGAATCAGGCTGATCAGAGCCACGGTTTTGCCCGATTTTGATGGCCCGAGGAAGATGCCCGTGCATGGCACCAGGGGCACCACGGGGTCAGAGGGCTGCTTGCTGCTGTACTCTGTCGTAGGAAACAGCTTGATCTTCCCCATTTCCTTTGCGTTACTTGCCAAATTTGAAGCCGGGAAGCCGGGCGGCGAGTCCGTCAGTGCATCGGTGTGTACCGACGCACTGCCGGTGTTTTCCGCGCAATCCGGGCGGCGAGTCCGGGAGTGCGTGTGCTGTACAGCACTGCGCTCCCAGAGTTTTCTGGGATAAAACCAAAGGGCTGGTATGCAGCTGAAGTACTTTGGAAGTAAGGCGTGGTTAGCTCCTCACATGGACCGGCTGCTGGGGGACGTCGCCGTGCTTCACTCTCCCTTCTTCGGTTCTGGAAAGCTGGAGTACTACCTCGCCGCCCGGCGCCCGGGCCTGGAGGTGCGCGGCGTCGACGCCTTCGAGCCCGTCGCAAACCTGCACCGCTGCTACTTGAGGCGAGACCCGGTCTTATTCTTTCGCTTAGCTCGCGCCTGACTTGAGCCAAAACTTGGGCGAAGCCCTCCAAACGTACTCGCAGTACCTACGCAATACTTACATACCAGAAGACACAATATACTTGTCGCATGTGTGTGACATCACTGAATCTGCACATGAAGCGGCACTCTTTTCTTCAAAGCGCAAATGGGGCGATTCAGGTTGCCTCACCCGCATCCAAGCGGCTTAGGGCTAGGCTGAACATTCTGAAGTCGGGGCGGGTTAAAGCCAGGCAAATGCTGGCAGGGTGGGACGACTTCAAGCCTCTCTTGTATTTTTACAAAAGAGGCAACCCTCCCTACCCACCCGAGCCTATATGTCCACATGCATTCACATGTGTGCGAGTGTGGTTGCGTGAACCAACAAACTCAAATGCCTAAAAACTCAAGTCAGTTCGTTTTACAAATGCCTGTTTGTAAAACTCCGCAAGCTTTTTGCTCAAGAATAAGGTATCCATCTCTGCGAGAGTTTCAACTTATTCTTTCGCTTAGCTCGCGCCTGACTTGAGCCAAAACTTGGGCGAAGCCCTCCAAACGTACTCGCAGTACCTACGCAATACTTACATACCAGAAGACACAATATACTTGTCGCATGTGTGTGACATCACTGAATCTGCACATGAAGCGGCACTCTTTTCTTCAAAGCGCAAATGGGGCGATTCAGGTTGCCTCACCCGCATCCACCCCAGTTACACTCGTGAGGCCTGCTACTTTGCAGATGTCACTCCATGCAAACTGTGTTCTCTGGCTGCCCTGTTCTTCCAGGCTTTGGCAGACTCCTCTGCTTGGGGCGTCAGCCGGGTTCGACTCCGTGGGCACTCGTGCAAACCAGGGTCTGAACTGCATTTGGAATTCAAGTTTGCAGAAACTCTCAACAAAGGCTCCAACACGTTTGGTAGCTCCTGTTCCCTTGAGGAGCGAGCTTTTGGCGCCTTCATTGTCCACATAGCAAACCACTTGTGCGTTCCGGAAGCAATCTCCCCATACCACTGCCGCGACTAGCACCGGGAGTATTTCGAGTTCGTAAATTGGGTGCTTTGACTCCTCTAATAATTGGTTCATGACCTCATCAGGAACCACTTCTGAAAAATGGAACATCAGCTGACCTGTCTGATTGTAAAGGACTCCACCAATTGAACCTCTGATGGGCTCAGTGCCTTCACACGCTCCATCCGTAAATAAAAACCACGAATTGCCACAAGTCTTTGTGATCAGCACTGGAGGGCCAGTCAAAACCCGCTCCCTGAGATCCTTGAAGTGTCTGGCCAAGTTCTGTCCAATTTCCACTTTCGACTTGCTGCCTTCAAACGCCATCCTGATCTGTTTCAGAGCATAGTTGGCAAGCCTACCCCAGACGAAACTTTCGAACCAAACCATGCGGCCACGCAACCTCTCCGCCTCCTTTGCTGTCAACTGTCCCTTCTGCAAAATGTCTTCAATCTCGTCCGCCAGTTCTTCCCTGCGGTCAGGAGTGTGAAAAATTCTGCAAATGCCCGAACCCAAGTTCTCAAGACCCACCATCAGTCCCAGGGTCTTGAAGGTGTCTGCAAAGTCCACACACTTCTTGCCTGTCCTTGCAAAACGAACTCCCCACAAGGTGAACAGTGCCTCTGCTGCGTAGCCCGCAGATTTGCAGACATCTTCCCTAGAAAGCAAAGTATAGTCGTCAAAGAAACTGCTCCACAACAACTGTAACCCTGCCAGTCCTGCATACGCCAACCCCGAAGAAACTCTGAGGAAACCAGCCACCGATCCCACTGCCCCAAAGGGGAGAGCATTAGACCCGAAAAATCGAAGCTTACCACTCTCAGTGTCTTTCGCAACTAATCTCGAGATCGCTCTATCTGCTGGGTGTACCGCATATTGCTTGTAAGCCGCTTCCAAATCGTAGGTGCGACCCAGGACTCTGGGATGCGTGCTCGCCTCGCAGGTGTCCAAAGAATACGCGATCATGGCGGCCATCTCGTCCACGGCTTGCACTCTCAGCTTTTCTTTCAAGCCGCACGTTTTGTTCAAGCCCCCAACGGTGTAGTCATCAATGACTCGCACCTTTTCCTTTTGTTGCAGCCCAAATCTCTTGGCGAGTAAGACACCGTGCAGGTTTGGAGCAACGTCCTCAAAAATCCAGCCCTTCTCCACTTCTTTGCAGGTCTCCTCCCAGGTGGCTCGGTCCAAGTCAGTCAGCTCCTCTGCACGCATTTGCTTCAATATGCCATGATTCACACCTTTAGCCATTTGCAAGGCTTGCTCAACTCTCAGCTCAGGACGTCGTACCCTTTTCTGAAAGTACCCCGTCTCCGGAAGCCATCCAGTTAATTTGAAGCCCTCCGCCACGTGTTGCTGCAGCATAACATCTGGGTAACCCAGGTCTCTCAACATTTCGCCCATAAGCAAGATGTTCTTGCCCTTGAGGACCACTCGCACATATTCAGGCATCGCTGCATGCAGTTTCTTTTCTTCCTCCTCCAACGCACTCCTTCTGCCAAGCCAGTGCTTAATGAACTCAATGCGCCTCCTGATGATGTCCACCGCTGTGAGGTCTCTGTTGGCTATGACGGCTGCTTTTGTCTCCTTCTGTAGGAAAACCGCAATGTCTCTCGGATGGCCTGCTGCGACCGCTGCTTTGACAAATTCTTCAGGGCTTCTCGGTATTCCCACAACCGCTTTTTCCACCAAACCTGCCTCTGCTGTTGGCATAGGTGGCAAAATGGCCCACTGAAATTGTTGAGCGCAGACCCGTGCCTCCCCCCATGTGCAAATTTGTCTGCGTGTTATCTTGCTGCCCTTAGGCTTCAGCTGCAAGAAGTGCTTCAAAGAGTCCACGTCTTGAACCGGCCCCAAAACCGTCAAATACTGACCAAATTCCGACACGAAGGGGCGCAATTTGCGTCCTCTTGGCATGCCGCCCAGCAGTATGCGGTTGCTGGAGTTTTGCTCATGGGCCTGCAGCTGACTCAACATGTCCTTGGGATCTAAGGCTCCTGCGTTGCACAGTTGCATCTTGATGCAAGATACCATTCGCACACAAAGGACCCAAGGGTAAGCTGCTTCTTCCTTGGTGGGAAAAAGTAGCCCTGTGGCTGTCACCTGTGCTTTGAAGGACTTGTGGGTGTGTTGTTTGTCGCACCTCATGCTGAGCGACGCCAACCAATCAGCGTTGCACTTGAAGAGGGTGTCTTTGTCACGATGTCCACCATGGCAACAATTGTGAAAACGCACATCCCACAGGTCGATCTCTTGCTCCAAACGACACATTGGCGACGTTTTCCAAAAGTGCGAATTGGTCGGGTTTTCCACGGAGAAAAATATGCTGAGTGAATGCGCCAAACTTGCAATTTCGAACACTGCATCGTACAGTTGATTTGCCAGCTCAGTCTTCTTCTTGTCTGCACCTCTCAGCCCGTCCAAACCGTCCGGCCTGTCCTCGGATCTCAACGGGCCTGGCACCAACGATTGCAAATGTTTGGGCACCTTCAACTTCCTTTCTCTAGCTCTCGAAGCAGTGCCACAAGGTGGCGCCAAATGTATCCACACAATGACCGCCTGGTTTTCCTTGATGAATTCCAAAAGCACAACCAATTGCTGTTGCACTGCAAGATCAAAAATTGTGATACTGTGACCTTCAGCTCGTTGCTTCTGATGGTCCACTGCGACTGCCTGAAATCCGGCTTCGTACGCTGCCTTTGACAGCCTGGCAGTTCCAGCGAACACCTCGATGCAGATGAATTCAGAAATGGGCCTTCCTTCGAAACGCCACAAAAAAGGGTGCAGATCTGCCTGCTGAAAAGCCTTGATGGAATCCTTGACTCCACCCGCTATTTGCTGACTTTCAGCACCATCTTCCCAAGAAACTCTGTTCCTCTTCGATCTGGCGCAGTTTTGACTGTCGGCACCTTGGCCTCCTGCATCCGCCTTTGGAAAAACGATCGAAAGCGGCTGCTCGCCAGTTGTTTGCCTCGCATTCATGGAGTCCTTGCTTCCATGTGCAGTTTGCTGACTTTCAGCATCTGCTGCGCTGGCTTTTGCCGAAAAATTGTGAGAAATGTCGTGACCGCATGCATCTTGGCTTCCAATGCACTTGCCGGAGAACTGAGTCGGCTCCGCCTCCAAATGAGGCCATGATCCCACTGCGCCGACAAGTCAGCTTCCTCCCAGCCTGCACACCATGAAACTGTGTCCCGGTTTGTGACACTTGGCACAAATGTGGACACCTTTGCTGCACGCTTTCGGGTTTCCTTGCGTCGCCAGACTGCATCCTGACTCAAGGTTGAACCCGTAGCAAACTGGTTTGCCGTCTTTGGTCTTTAGCTCACACCCGATCAGCAGCTCCGGGCACCTCGGCCTGGATGCTCGCTTCGCTTGGGGTTTGGCCTTCTTAGCTGGCCTGGTGGCTACCTTGCCTCCACTTGCCTCCTTGGGCGGAGGTGCTGTGGCCACTTTGGCCACTGCAGAGGGTAACGGCAGCAAATGCATAGTGATTCTCGGGTTGTACCTCAAGTCCTGGATGGCTTTATCCAAAGGCCACTTGCCATCTGCTTGAGGCCTCAGGCTTGGCAAGTGCTCCTCTGCTATGGCAATCCACAATTCACGATCGGCTGTCATCAGTTGCGCCACTCTGACTGGGGCATACCCGGTCGGCACTGTCCGGGTCAAAACCCCTAACAACTGCTGCAACCACGATTCATGGACTTCCCAGCTGACAAGGCTGCACTGATCAAAGGCAAGGCCTCTCCTTTGCAGCGCCCACTGCAGCTTCAGCTCTGAACCCAAATCCGCATCTGTGTGGGTGTCAGGCGTGTTGACCTTCAACGAAGAACTCTCAACTGCAATGACTGCCTTCTGTGGCTTGGTGATCTGGGCAATTTCGTCCATCCTTACGCCACACTTCTCAGGCGCGATGTAAACCACAACATTGGTTTCAGCCATTGCCGCCACCAAATCCAGCAGGCTATGCGCGGGTTCCAGGTTTCCTTGGATGGGGACTCCCAGGAGCCTCTTCTTCTGATCGGCCAGTCTGGCTGCTTTCTCGGCCGCAGGAAGCCTTGCCGGCTCAGCGCTGCCGCTCACCGAAACTTTGGCCTTCACATCGGCTATCACTATGGTGCATGCTTCAAACTGCAACCTTTTCAAGTTTGCCGTTTGCCCCAAGGTAGCACCATCTCCGAACACAGTCTGGGCCAACACCTCAAACGCTTCGTCACTGACCGGATTGTTGGGCGTCCCAGCTGCGAAGGCCATTTGGGAGAACGTGGACAAACCTTCTCTGTCGAGGGCCTGCTTCAGCGCCCCACTCGGATCCACTTCATCGCATCTTTGCGAGAAAGCGGCTTTGCTGTCCACCAGTGCCATGCTTGGAGAAAAATCTAAACGCGTGACAAGAAACAAACAAAACCCGCTTTCCCTGACTCTTGGAAACTGCAAGAGTGTCAGCTGTCTCTGTCTTGACGTTTGTGTCATGGCCACAAACTCACCCGAGACTGTCACAAAGACTAAGGCTGCTATCACGGTCGGACGGCATCTTTGGAATTGCGCACTTCGATGCAAGCCGTCTCAAATCCACAACTATGGCAGAACACATCCGAAACTCAACATCAAGCTTCACCTGACACTTCCGGACATGCTGATATGCTCAAGGCAACGTGACCCAGTACTCTTCCGTTAGGGAACTCGCTCAACACCTTTTCCTTGGAGGCGCACACATCTCAGGCCTTCGCCGAGGTATAGCCTTGCTCTTCAAGCCCTCGCTGAAGCCACTAGCGTCGATTTGAAACACTGGCGGCAAGTAGGGGAATCCCACCTCGAGACAGCTTGCTCCGTAAATTTGTCTGTGATTTGCCTCCCACAGATGAGGATTTTCTTGTGTTCCTCAAACGCCAAGTGCAGTGTCTTGTGTACACGATGCATAACCAACTTCGTGCCTGACGGAGCGAGTGGCGCCTGCCTGATTATGGGCTCCACCACAGGGATGTCGGAATCACTGCCTGATGAGCTGGTGCCCTCCTGTTCAGAGTCACTGTCACACGGTTCCTCGTGGGACGCATCAAGGTCCTGACCTCCAGACTGCGACACCGCCTCTGTTGGGTCCTCATCATTGAAGCCTGTTGCTACAACTGGCTCCTGAACGCTGTCGTGAGTCATTCCCACAAACGCTCCTGATGATGTTTCTTCCACCGCCGTCCATGACTCATCCAAAGATTTCAACAGCGAACCTTCTTCCCAAATACCAGCACCATGCAAACTGTCTGAAAAACTCTGCTTGACAGGACGAACTGAGGCTCCTGCTTTTGGTTTCGCCGTCAGCAGCTTGCCACCTCCTAATCCGTCCACCTCCAAATGCGACAGCAGTCGATTGCCTCGAGACTCCTCTGGGTTGAACTTGCCCGTCCTGATCTCTTCCATCATTCGAGACACCAACGCCAAGGGTCGGGCCAGGGCGTCTCTGGAATATCTGTGGGCCATCTTGTGTCCCCCTGAATGATAACCCAGAGTCAAACGGTCATCCAAAGAGATGCCTCTCTTCGCTGCAAACGACAAAACCGTGCACTTCATGGTGTGAGAGGTGATGCGCCGGTTGTCCAAACAGAAGTTGCCATCAAGCAAAAGTCTCTTCAACCATTCGCCAGCTTCCATGGTGCTTAAGGGCCGCACTGTAGGTGACCCCTGGACGTTGGGGGCCGGCATGAGTGGCATGCTAGGCGGGTCCTGTATTCCTGCTGCCAGCCTCTTGGACTGCCAGGTCTCCGCCCAACCGTCATCAAGCACACCATCCGTGAATGCAGTGAGTGGCAAATGAGCATGTCTGAACTGGCTGGCTCTGCTTGTTTTATGAATGCCCACTGCTCCTTCAATGAACGCAACCTTTCCTTGAAAGTCGTGTTCGAAGGACAGGCGTTCCACATGTTGACCATCCGTCCACCTGCTGCGCGCGTAGGTCATAAACAAAACTGAGCCCGCAAAAATAGCATCCCAGACATCCGCTGCCGAAAAAACCAATGTATGTAAATACGCCAGTTCTTTGCATGTCAACGGAGAAGCTTGATGTGAATCAACAGTGGGTTTGGACATGGCCGTTCCATGACATCTCTTGCTTGTTGGAATGTCACCGCAAGTAGACTCTCCCAACACGAAACGGCAAAAAGCGATCGCTTCCAGGATTGCTTTGCGCTTTGCAATGCTGCCACCTGCTTGTCTGTCCAAACACAACGTATTGTAGCATACTGCTTCCGAACATGGAAAGGAATTTCCATTCTTGGATAGCATGTCGCAAAACTTCCACATGCTGTTTGCTCGCTTGCTGATGGTAGCAGGCGCCCTGCCAGCAAAAATATCTGCCAGCATGTTTGTTTGGTTCTCCACTGTTTCGCAATCAAGCATCAACTGTTTGGCCTTCGAAGTGTCATTCCACACCATCACCAACTCATGCCAGCGGGCCATAGCTCTTTGGAGCTGGGCGTCACGGTCCTCTTGCCAGGTCTTCACCTCGATGTTTTTGACCACTGCTGAAAAAATTCTTGTGGTACGTCTAGGTTCCTTCCAGGCTCTCGCACTGACGCTTGTTTCTTGAATAGCCCGCTCCTCTTCGACCGCCAGCTCCACAAGAGGTGCCGTCGGTCTCTTGAACTTCAAAAGGTTGTCCAGAACAGGCGTGAGCGAATCTGTAGCCATGAAGCTGTTCCAGAAACCCTTCTCCCATGGAAATTTGATTTGTTCACCGGGCAGGGCACGCCAGGTAGCCTCAATAGTAGTCCCCAGCCTGCTGAAATGCTCAACTCTTGCCGGGCAAGCACTGCCAGCAGAACCAGACCCAACTACTCTGTCGCTTTCACTCATGTCAAAAGATGCCTCTGACTGCCCAACTCCCGAGGACGGTTCGTAGTTGCTGTCACCGAATCCCAAAGCCTCCTCCAAATCTAGTGCAGCGCTGTCATCTGCCATAATTGCAAAGAAAGCTTCTTCACACACTGCTAAATCGGATGAACCATCCAGTAAACCACTGAAATCCCCATGGCACGACTTCAAGCCTCTCTTGTATTTTTACAAAAGAGGCAACCCTCCCTACCCACCCGAGCCTTGAGCCAAAATGGCTACGGCTTCAAGCCTCTCTTGTATTTTTACAAAAGAGGCAACCCTCCCTACCCACCCGAGCCTATATGTCCACATGCATTCACATGTGTGCGAGTGTGGTTGCGTGAACCAACAAACTCAAATGCCTAAAAACTCAAGTCAGTTCGTTTTACAAATGCCTGTTTGTAAAACTCCGCAAGCTTTTTGCTCAAGAATAAGGTATCCATCTCTGCGAGAGTTTCAACTTCCTGCGCTCCTTGCTGCGCCTGGTGGGGCGCAGGGTGGACAGGCGCTTCTACTCCGGGCACCTTCTGCCGGGCGCGCTGAGAGGCCGTGCCGGGCGCCGGGCCGCCTGCGCGTACGTCCTGCTGCGCAACAGCTTCTCGGGAAAGTGGGGCTCCTTCGCACAGCAGCGGCCGCTGGCACTGAGCAGCGTGCGGCGCCTCTGCAGCCACCGTGCAACGTGACCGTGCGGCGCCAGGACGCGCTGGCCTACCTGCGGGCACTGCCACGCCGTGCGCACCAGTGCATCTACGCAGATCCTCCTTACATTTTCCCCGGCCGCAGCATGAACTACTATGGTACGCGAGGGGGCCACGACCTGGTCTTTCACACGGAGCTGCGAGACGCACTCTTCGCGAGCGGCCTGCCCTTCGTCGTCAGCGTCAACGACGTGCCCGAGGCCCGGGAGCTCTACAGCGGGGCCGACTCCATCACGAGCCTGCGCTCGGGCAAGAACAGTTCCAAGCCCGAGCTGCTTGTAGTGCACCAGGGCAATCCTGTGCCCAGCGCAGGATTGGGTGGAGCAATCCTGCACCCAGCCCAGGATTGACAATGGCATTCCTGTGCCCACGCCAGGATTGACGGCAGGGCGTGTAAGTGGTGAAAAAACACACTGTCAGCGGTACTGCGAGGACAGCATAACTGACAGACCTCCGGCGCTGGCCCGGTGATGGGTTTTTCGGGCAGGTTCGCCGAAACTGTCGGGTTAGACGACAGTTTCGAAAAATAAATAAAATCCTGGGCTCAGGAGGCTTCGATGCCGGGCAGGCGCGGCTCTGCCGGGCAGGTTCGCCGAAGGCAGTTGTCCCCCACAGGACAACTGGAAAAAATTTTTTCACGGTCGTCTAAGCCGACAACTTCGACATTTTGCTTTGCGAAGCCTTTCCGGAACTTGGTACAGCCAGTACCCAGTTCAAGTTCCCAGGTCGTGGATGCCGCCCCATCGCCGTGGTGGACGCCAAGACGGCCATCAAGATCGTGATGGGTTGGGCGAGCCAGTTGGGCGAGCCAGTACTAAGCCGTTGGGCGAGCCATCAAACGAGGTTGGGCGAGCCAGTACTAAGCCGTTGGGCGAGCCCGTACTTGGGCGAACCCGTTGGGCGATACTAAGCCGTTGGGCGAGCCACTCAACCACAGTGGACGCCTGCTTCAAAGCTGCGCCTTGGCGCTCCTACGGTGCCTCGGCACGTGCCCGCTCGGCACTGTGCCTGCTCGGCGCGCTTACCTAGGTGCCCGCTCGGCACGGTGCCAGCTCGGCACATTTAGTTCGGCACATTTAGTGCCCGCTCGGCACTGCACCCCCTCCACGGTGCCAGCTCGGCACCGGGGTTCCTACTAGTGCCCGCTCGGCACTGGGGTGCCTGCTCGGCACGTGCCCGCTCGGCACTGCCTGTGCCTGCTCGGCACGTGCCCGCTCGGCACATCTAGTTACTAGTGCCCGCTCGGCACTGCTAGTTAAGTGCCCGCTCGGCACTGCCCTGCCTCGCAGAAGTTCAGGATGTCCAGGATGAACCTACGTACGGCCTGACAGGAAAAAAAAACAGGGGGAGGGGGCACGGGGTTGAGCCACATGACATGCAAAAAACCGTGCGAAAAAAAAACGTGCAAAATCATGTCAAAATCATGCAAAAACCATGTCAAAACCATGTCAAAATCATGTCAAAATCATGCAAAAACCATGCAAAAAACCATGTCCTGTCATGCAAACATGCAAAAACCATGCAAACATGCGGCGCTGGCGTCTACGCAGGCAGGCGCGGCAGGCAGGCTAGGGCGCGGCAGGCAGGCTAGGGCGCGGCAACCCGCCGAACATCCACTCTCCCCGGCTTCCTTGCTATACGTGCTATATGTGCTATATGGCTCTTACAAGGCAAGCCACTGAACATCCACTCTCCCCGGATTCCTTGCTATAAGTGCTATATGTGCTATATGGCTCTTACAAGGCAAGCCACTGAACATCCACTCTCCCCGGGTCCATGCTATATGTGCTATATGTGCTATATG